TCAATGCAGTTCAGGAAGGTGAATTGAAAACCAGACACGCATGGACAGTTTATGAGAACATTGCCCTCCACCTTCCCTGAGATGTCCAGGTTGTTCAAACGGATCAATTGTCTTTTTGGGGAGTACCTATCTGTGTGAAAAGCTCCTTTTTATTATGAACGTTAACAAGTCAAAGTTCAGGGCCAAACTTAGTGATTAGCATCTTCAAGCTATACTGAGGGTCTCAGTTGCTTCCTCACTTAAACCAAATGTTGCTCAGCTGTGTAAAAAAGAAGCACTGCCAGGTCTCTGGCAACAAGGATTAGGAGGAAGTAAGTGAAGCCTACTTCTTGAGAACCCTTAATGTTTGTATTTGTTATTACTAAAGGTTGAGCAGGTTGTAACCGTTGTACTTAATTTAATTTGTAATCGCTTTTTTGTGTGGAATACTTGATGCGGCCCCAGTCTCACTCAGACTCTACCTCATGCGGCCCCCGGATAGTTTGAGTTTGAGACCCCTGTTATAGAGGAATTCACCTGCATTATGTGACAGCATGCACAGCCCTACCTATCTACTTACTGTAGTCTCCCAGATATAACTAAGTGTCTATTTAACACATTATATCTATCAGTCACACAAACTACCATACAGCTTCTACATTCTAACACCGCCCTACACATGCCGGTACCTCTAAGTGGATTTCTTTGGCAAGAACTGGTACAACCCCTATAGGTCTAAGTCTACGTCCACACACACAGCGAAATAATTTTCATGTGAGGACTGCAGGTCTTGACAACTAGGTCTAAATCTACGTCCACACACACAGCGAAATAATTTTCATGTGAGGACTGCAGGTCTTGACAACTAGCTCCAAATCTACGTCCACACACACAGCGAAATAAGTTTCATGTGAGGACTGCAGGTCTTGACAACTAGGTCTAAGTCTACGTCCACACACACAGCGAAATAATTTTCATGTGAGGACTGCAGGTCTTGACAACTAGCTCTAAGTCTACGTCTAAACACACAGGAAATAAGTTTCATGGCAGGACTGCATTTCTTGGTCCGTCAACTGTATTTCGTGTGCTTTATATTTAACCAAGCGTTTCTACACGAACTTGTTCAGCGAACAAACAATAGTCAAACCAATTAAACCAACAAGATAAACACTTAGCTGCCATGCAGTATCCGAGAAGACAGCAAAGAGGAATGTTACTTTTATCCGTCAACTACAGGCAGTCCGTACAAATGTGACCTAAAGAGACTTGTCCAGAAAAATGTTAAGATGTCCGTAATAAAAATTGCACTAAAATCTTTTGCCTCAAAACAAACGGTGAAATCTCAGTAAGATTTCTTCTTGCTTGCTTTCGTCTAACTTGTTTGTCAGGAGAGCCTCGACGCTGACGAGGATGCCTTACAGTAAAATATTATAATGAAATAGGCTCAAAGCCTCTTGGTGATAGAAACATAGTGGTACAGAAATTATCATCATTATTATTATTTATTTTTTTAAAGCTTCGTGAGTTTACTTTAACATGTGTCCGTGCAAAACTGGGGTGTGTACCTAAACGTGGTGAAGTTCTTCAATATTTGTCCATATTTTTTGTTTTGTTGTTTTGTTGACTAGGCTACCCTGGTCCGTGAAGAAGTAATGTCATTAGTGGGTCTGAGTGAAAAGATCCCCACCCCCGGGAACCTAGACGACATGTCCGCCCCATTATGGCATGTCGATTAAGAGGCGCTGCCACCGACCCCCTTGACGTCTCCCGGGGCACAATATCACCATGTAGGGGACCTGCACGTGAGAGGCAAAGGTCTTGTATGGAATCTGCGTTAGATATCACCATCCTGATCCTCTTAGACCTCCGTGCGGCCTTTGACACTGTTGACCATGTAATCCTTTTCAAAACACTTGAAAATTACTTAGGAGTTTCTGGTTCAGTTTTGCCTTGGTTTAGGTCCCCTAAACACGAAATACAGTTAGGTCATTGTTTAGATTATGCATCTTCAGTCTGGGACCCATTAAACCAGAAGAGCATTGATAGGTTGGAGGCGGTCCGGCGACGAGCAGCACGCTTTGTCCTGAACCACTTTAGGAATACCTCTAGTGTTGACAGCATGCTGGAAACACTAGGTTGGTCACCATTGGAGAAACGACGACGACAATCCAGGCTCTCCATGATGTACAAGATAAATAATGGGCTGGTCCACTGTTCCAGTATTAAACAGAAACTCGTCCCTCTCCCCCATAGACAGCGACGAGGCCATGACAAGCAATTCAGGCTCATACCAGCAAGAAGCCAGTATAGGAGCTGCTCATTCCTGCCCAAGACAATCAGGGACTGGAACAAGCTTTCAAAAGGAACAGTTGAGGCGACAAGACTATACTCATTTGTGTCTATTGCCTCAAGCCTTCAAACTCCCAGTGCATGATTCCCTCACAAAGTGGCACTGGAAATCAGTGAAATTTCCTCATCAACACTAGGCACAGAAACATTGCAAATCCCCTCTACATGCATAGGAGCCAAAATGATCAATAAATTGATCGTGGGCCCTTAATATATAGAAGAAGAAGAAGAAGAGGTCCTACCTCTCTGCTGAACGCAGGCGGTCTCTGTCGATGGCTGTCTCTTAGGCAGCGCTGATTTGGTGTACGGAGTGCTACAGGGATCCGTTTTTCGGCCCGGTTCCATTCACATTGTATACCAGACCACTGCTCCTCTTGCTTGCTGTTGAGAGCCAGTCATTTGCAGATGACACGCAGCTATACAAGCATATCCATCTTTCTCTTGTCGATTCCGCTGTCCAGACTTTGCGGGGGTGCATTGATGATGTCAAGTCATGGATGACACTCAGCCAGTTGAAGATTAATGATGACAAAACGGAAGCACTCCTCATTCACAATCACACAACATCCTCTACCTCAACTCTTCCCACCTCATTTCACGTAGGTAACTCCGACATACACCGCTATCCGTCAGATCAGTTCCATCCGCCACTACCTCACAGTTAGCGCTACAAAAACTCTAGTCTGTCCTCTTGTTCTCTCTCGTCTTGACTATTGCAACTCTCTTCTGTCAGGTTCACCAAAACACTGCATAGAAAAACTGCAGAAAGTCCAAAACTCAGCTGCTAGGCTAGTTTTAAAGGCAAAAAAACGTGATCACGTCACTCCACTACTCCATTCCCTTCATTGGCTTCCTATACAGGCACGCATTGACTACAAGTTGTCTGTTCTCTGATTCCCCTCCTCTGACCGATAAATGATCTTGTTGGCTGCCGTCCATGGTTTGCCTTGTAAAAGTCCTGGGGTTCATGCTATTCTTTATTTCATAATTGTATTTGATTTTAATGTCATGATTATATCTCTTTTGATAATATTTTTATGTACAGCGCGGTGAGCCCAGCACTAGGCTGGGGTACCGCGTTATAAAAGACCACTAATTATTATAATTATTATTATAGAAAGAGCACAGCTGCGTGTTACCTTCCAAGTACAGTTGAAAATAGCGTTGCGTTGCCTCAGCCCACGTTTTTCCGGGAGCTGTTCGGACCGGACAGAACGGCTTTAACTTCCTCTCCGGGTGAGACGTTGCGTTGCCTCGACCCACCGCTCTGGGAGCTGTTCGGACTGGACATGTCGGGACGAAACGGTCGCCTAGGGGTGGCTTTCTCAGGGCCACGTCTTTTTAATCACTGGCAAGGGTTTAGGGCCCACTACCTCATACCCATTACCGGCAATACGTAATCATGTTAGCGCTTCCTTCCGTTGCGTTAGAAGTCATGCGTTTTGCAAAATAAATAAATAAATGAAAAGGGGGGTTGAGCAAAATATCTTCCTCCCAGTGGAAGGGGGGCTTTGCGTTACCCCCTCCCCTAGCTCAGTGGGTCTTCCGATAGGGACAGTGTGATCTTTGGCTTCAGGGAGCATGCCCTATACTGGTCTTCCACGCCACGAAGAGGCAGATCACGTGCACACCACCTCGAGCAAAGTGGTGCGAGTTTCCCCAAGTCTAGCGCAAGCCATCCAGGGGAAACTTGGAAGCGTCCCAGCCTCTAGAATGTTCGACTGCAGGTGCTGTGAGAGCAGCACCACCAGCTTCCCAGGTGTTCCTTCATTGATGCTGCCCCACCCGCATGGTCAATCGAGTGGAAGGTGGGGGAGGGGGGCTGTCTCACCGGCGAAATACCAACCGACATACCGCTTCGCGGCCCGTTTAGTCTAGTGCTGTTCGGGTGGGGGGAGGGGGTATGTTGGGGCTCGACGGTCTGCTGTTTTTCTTAAGAGATTAGATTAGTGGAACTTCAGTGGAAGGATGTGACGATTCACGCAGTGACACGGTTAGAGTTAGCGCCACCCTTGGTGTGCCGCCCCCTTCCGCGAAAAAAAACCCTCTGTAGTCGTGCCAAAAAGGCCGCCCCCTCCATAAAAGAAAAAGTGCCTCCTGGCTTGAACCACCACCTCCGCCAATTTAAGTAATTTTATAGAAAGTTTAATTAATTTAGCTAACTTGTTTCTTAATCTAAAATATCTATATAATTCCTTTATAAATTAAGGCATTTAATTTTTTAAAAAATAGGTGTCATAAGGTGAATACCATTCAGATTCTACAGATATTCAGGTCATTTGAAAATAAGCAAAAATTTTAATTTCCCTAAATTTTCCCAAAACATGATCTTCATATTATACGCGTGATCATGAATTCTCCAGCACTGGAAATTCGCCAGAGTCATAAAATTGCTAACTCTTTAGCAAAATAAGTTTTTAAAAAATAAGTAAAAAACTGTTTACCAATACAAAAGATGTGGCATTTCCTTTTATATTAAACGTGGAAAAAAAGTTCATATATTTCTAATTAATTCCTATTTTACTATTTGTCAATTAATGTTTAAAAAAGAAATGAAAAAATTGTAATATAAAACTTAACTATGTTGAGCTAAGAAAGTTAAACATATTTAGGCTGCTAGGAATTTATTTTAAGATTTAATTTTAAAAAAAATCTTTTAAATTAATAACACTGATTACTCCCTGGCGCCCCCATATTAGCTAGTTGACTTACTTAGTCTTAAAAAGAGAAGTTGACAAAAAAAAAATAAACACAATTTTTAGCTCTTGTATTGATTTATTGTTTACCTATAAGTAAGATACTAATTCTGGTGACTAATTATTAATATTTTGTGTTTGAACATTTTGATTCAGTCTTCTTATTTAGACACATTATTTTATTACGTTTGCTGACAGGATCTCGAATTTCCTCCGTAATAAGTAAGTAATAACTTTAATAAGGCTTACTTTGACGACTATTGTTAAAAGTGATACTCATTTGAGATATAACCATGATTCATTGATTGTCGTGAGACATTGAATTGATTCTGATTGGGATTGAATTGAATTAATTAGATTAGGTCTTAAGAAATATAGTATAGTTTATTATTGAATTTTCCTATTTGCACTTTGCCTTTGCAAAAACACCAAGGCAACAAGTTCACGGTTCAGGTATTATACCCACGGCCACCGTTCATGTTTCTATCAGTATCTATCTTTGATCTTCATAGTCATAGAATTGGATTTTTTCGGGTGAATATTTTAAAGTTAAATTAAAAATGATTGATTAATGTTAGGAGTCTAGAGTTGTTCTTACCAGTCACTATAAATTATACTATAATAATAATAATAATAGCCTGGCCTAATCAATAATAATATACCGGGTAATATAATAATCTAGTTTCAGTTTCCTCACATTACTAACTCAGTAACTTCACAGAGAAGTTCAGTTACAGTTACAGACTAGTACTGTAAAAATATACTAATTTACCATAGTATAGACTGTTCTGTCAAGTGTTGTCAGTGTTGATGTTTTTTTTATGGCATAGTTAATATTATTTATACGACCTAAATTTAAATCAAACTCAGAGGTAAAGTAAAATGAAACTGAAATTGTAATAGATTTGAATGTCAAAAGGGCATAGTGTAGGTACTCAAATTTTCAAATACATCTGACACTATCAAAAACTAAGAGCATATCATGGGAAAATAGCTGGATTTAAGCTTTCCAATGACACCAAGATAATCTTTCTATCATTTATAGGAGAAGTTATGATTTTTTTAGTAATTTATTTTTCCCCACTATTCAGCTTTATATTTAGTTATCAAAACTGTGATCACATTATTACTCTTTTTGTTCTATTTTGCTTGTATATTTTTGGCTGTTAAAGTTAGAGCTATCAAATTTGGGGGAGACAATTACGTTACAATGGTTAACAAAATAAAACACATGAATTGTAAATTAACTTATTATATTTTTAGTAAATATTACTTTATGAGCATATGGCATGGATAACGACAATTTTGAAAAATATGACAGTTCCTAGGCCTAGGATGGGGTGTTGAACCGTAGGAATGATTGGGGTGTCCAAGGGCTGAAATTTATGTTGTGGCTATGCGCATGCACAAAAAATTAAATACTTCCTGTTTAAAACTTTCATATTCATAGAATAAGAAATAGCATTTTATGCTTTAAAATATATAGAAATGAGCATTTTATAGTTTAAAAAAGCATCAATTAACAAGAATTAACAAAATAATTTAAATATTTTAAATTCAATGTCATTATGTACCGGTACCATAGTAAAGAATAAAGGAACAAAAATGAAAGCAATAGATAGAATAGGATCAGAAAATTAGATGGTGCACTCCTGACTACATATTACATAAAAAATAAACTAAAAAACTACTAAGACTAAAACTAGTTGATGTAAGAGGTTAGCTTCTTTTTATTAAATTAAAGTACTCAGTACTGGTATGCTCAACAGTTTCATTTTAAAATGTTAAAAATTTGTTCTTGTTTCTGAAGCCCACTAAAGTGACTAAAGCTACGTTTATCCTGAATTAGGCTAACGAGCATGTGTGAGGCCATTTCGAGCTGCTCATTACATATTATGCTTATGGGGCTTCAAGCCCTCCCCAGAACTGGCCATATAGAACTATTTACTCATATAAAAATTGTAGATAAATTTAATTAAAACCTGATTATTTAAATTGATAGAAAAGAAGAAAACTGTAATGATAGATCTTGGGAAAATTGACAAAAATCATCACAGTCTTTGAATGTTTGGGACAATGATTAAAAAAAAAAATTCGAAAGAAAGAAAAAAATTGATGTTTCCTTTTACCTGACATGCGCAGTGCATGTTTCTAAATGATCTGTAGCACATGGCCAATCCAGGGGGCGGCAACTTTTTTCTTTTAATTCTAATATGTTCATAACTTTTAATATATTTGAAATGTACAACAAAAAAATTTTGAGGACACACCATATGCCATGTTGAAAAAATGTACCTGTATATCAGTATTCGGGTCAACTATCTATTTTTTTATTTTGTCAATCCAGTATTAGTAATGACGGCTATTGAAATCAAATGTACCAAAAGTGACTGATCTATGAAAATAATACATTTTATACAGCTACTAATTAATCAAATTTTTCGGCTCATTGAGATAGTGTCATTCTGAAAGTAAAAGTAATATTTAAAAAAAAATGGTATTTATTTTTACCCGGACATTAACATTCCATTAATTTCTTTACTTAAGGCATGACTTCTTTAAACACTAGGCACATGCAAAATGCTGCGTAAGTCATATGCAGAAGACTCTATTACAGTGTTTTGTCCAAAAAAGATTAGTAAATTAATTGGTCCATTCACAAGTTTGTTAAAGTTTATGAAAAATTTAACAAATTTATTTTGTATTTAACAAAAAAAAAGATTTCTGTTTCATATGGATATCTAGCAACAATTTCTTTAATCCATTTGGAGAGAATATTCTAATAATAAATTCTTCTCACTTGGCACACTTATTGTCCTTAGAATGTCGACGACGTCAAAGAAACATCAAAACTTTGTGACAGAGCCAATGGGCGACAAGTTGGTGTTTGAGCTTGCTGGAATTGGCGAAGCCCTGGGAAATCGACTTGTTGAAAACAACTATGATAAGGTATGCCTGTATACAGAGAACCTGATTTGATTCCCCCCTGTTTTACTGAATAATGTTAGATTCAACTTACTTTACTGGATAATGTTAGATTCAACTTACTTTACTAGATAATGTTAGATTCAACTTACTTTACTGGATAATGTTAGATTCAACTTACTTTACTGGATAATATTAGATTCAACTTACTTTACTGGATAATGTTAGATTCAACTTACTTTACTGGATAATGTTAGATTCAACTTACTTTACTGGATAATGTTAGATTCAACTTACTTTACTGGATAATGTTAGATTCAACTTACTTTACTGGATAATATTAGATTCAACTTACTTCACTGGATAAAGTTAGATTCAACTTACTTTAATGGATAAAGTTAGATTCAACTTACTTTACTAGATAATGTTAGATTCAACTTACTTTACTAGATAATGTTAGATTCAACTTACTTTACTGGATAATGTTAGATTCAACTTACTTTACTGGATAATGTTAGATTCAACTTACTTTACTAGATAATGTTAGATTCAACTTACTTTACTGGATAATGTTAGATTCAACTTACTTTACTGGATAATGTTAGATTCAACTTACTTTACTAGATAATGTTAGATTCAACTTACTTTACTATATAATGTTAGATTCAACTTACTTTACAACATTGGATTTAATAGCTGCCATACGCAGTTGAGAGCCAAATGTATATAATGGCGGGATTAAGGTAGTCTTATGTTAGATTCTCTGTGGCAGTGTTTTCTGTTAAGATTATTCATTCACTTCCAGACTTCACATTTAAAATTATTACTAATGAATTTAATGCTTAGACAATATTAATCAGTGAACAATTTTTTTTTTCTTCAAAAGTAAAGTTTAGTTAAGCGATATCCTCTCACGAATCACTTGTCCCCAAAGCTCTTTTACCTGCTGCTATTACAGCTTTTTCACCCTCCTCAGCCATCTCCACCCTCCCCTACAATCCTGCAGCCCTACATTCTTACCTCTCCCACTTCACTTCTACTCTCATCACCCTTTCATTCCACTCAACATTTTTTTCTTCTCCTAACTTGCCCCCTACTCCCCTATCATCCACCCAAACCTATAAGAAAGACTGTGCAGAAAATAGTTTCAAAAATTAATAAAAATAAAACATATTTAAGTTTTCCTACATTTAATTTCAATTTTTTTGGCTTCACAGAGTGTGGCTTACTACGCTTCTGCACATACTTCTTTCCGTAGTCCATTTTAAGAAATTTGAAATTTTTGCTAAATTTAATTTCAGCTATGATAGCACATGATGATATTGAAAATCTCTGTAAAATTATTAGAGTATTTCTTTTTAGTAAGGTATGGTTGATTTTGATGAGAAATTTACTGGTGTATCAGCTTGGTTTCAAAATTACTTTCTACTTTTTAGTGCGTTTAAACTCATCTTTGATAGAAAGTCTTTTAAAGTTTCTTAATATTTTTTTTGTCTGGTTCTCAGTTTAGTTCACAAAATCTGTTCACTATTTCAGGCTTACACAGTTCTGGGTCAGTTTTTGCTTTTCAAAAAGGATGAAAGTCTCTTTAAGGATTGGCTGAAAGAAATCTGTGGAGCAAACTCCAAACAGCAAGAAGATTGTTACCGTTGTTTAAAAGAGTGGTGCGATTCATTCTTGTGAGTTCATTTCATATGTGTACAATAAAAAAGGCAGTGTATTTGTTATTCAATATTTTAGCCTAAAAAATGTTCCTAAAATGTTCTATTTAAATTTGGTGAAATTGAAATGATCGCACATATAATTTCGGGCACTTTGAAACATATTGATGCAGTGGTTCTAAATAGTTTTATTGCAGCTGAAGTTTATTTTATAACTTGATGTCTTTGTGTCATGGGCGCCATCTGACACAGGAACAAAATAGAATAGTCTTGCAATGTTATCCATCCAACTAATGGAGTCCCCAAAGTTTATGTAGAGACTTCCTTTTAAAAAAAAAAATATTTTTTGATGACACAATAAGAAGATTTAAGTGAGAATTTTTTTTCTTTCTTTTTTATGGGGGGAAGAAAATAGTTCCAGGCTTATGTAATGATATAATAGTTCCAGGCTTATGTAATGATATAATAGTTCCAGGCTTATGTAATGTTATAATAGTTCCAGGCTTATGTAATGATAAAATGCCTCCTCATAGTTCTATTATATAAAAACCATTTTATAACAATCCAAATAGCACTGTAATTTGTTATTCAGAAGACTTATTCTTTTCTTTGTTCACCTGACCAACATGTTGCTGTAATTTATGTTCATGTTCTTTTCATTGATTTTGTGCTATTTTTTTATATTGAAAGTTTGTTGAAGAAATGTGCTCCAAATTGATTTTAAAACTTATTTATGGGATCATTAAATAAAACAATTTTAAATAAAAATGTACATGTGGTTAAAGACATGTAGTTAAAATGGAAATGTAATTTTGTGCTACAATTTGTTGACAGTCAGTTTATGATAGGAACAAAAAGAAAGAATGTTTATGTAATTTAAAACTATTCCACCTTACTTGAAAGGTGTGCCAGCATCATTTAAAATGCTTGTAATAAGATCTAATGGTATATTAATACACTTAAAACTTGAGCACTATATGTATTCATCTAGAGCATTCTGCTTGTTGTTGGTTTTTTCCATTATTACGCACTGTAGATCTGTCTTACACAAGTTGCTGCTTTTAAATAAACATTTCTTTCTTTATTATGATTTTGTTTTTTCAATAAAAGTACAAGCAAGAAAGTATAGTCCCATCACAATTACTTTGTTTGGCTCATCAGAGGCTGGTACTATTTGTAGTACTATTAACATTTATTTTTGTGGGAGTTTGTAAGTCTATGTTAACATGTCACTTAAATGTACATCTTTCTTATGAGCATAATAACAGGTCACGAGCCACTTACTAATAAAACATTAGACCACCTTTTCCTTACTGAAACATATGGGCCTATTTTTATGGTTAATCTATAGAAGTTTGGCTATGATATCTAATTTATTTAATATTTGACTTGTTTGATCACAATGTGTAAGACAGAGGCCCTTGTCAAGACTTGCTGATTAAAGGATTCCCCAAGGCCCCCCTGTCAAACTGTGACAAGTGCATTGCATCACTGCAAACATATTTATTTTTTTATTTTCACTCTCAATGTCAATGTTAAAAAAAACATCCAATTTCCAAGAAAAAAAAATTCTAAGAAATACTTCAATAATTGGGGGTCACTTCATCTCAACACTATTCAGTTGATAGAATTGAATTAATTTCCCAATACAAATTCAAAAACTAAGGCCATGCGAAACCCACAGCTGTTTATATAAAAATACAAAATGAGTTTGATAATGTATTCAACAAAAAAAGATAACTTGATATTAAATTGACATATTGTAACATATTATAAAGGGTTTTAAGTGGCACACTGTTTGGGAAGTTCTGTCATTAAGATTTCCACTGTGATACTGGTGCATTTTTATGAAATTGAATGAAGTCAGGGAATGGGAGAGGATCACTCAAACATTGCCACGTGGGGGACCATATGTCATGATAGCGAAACTTTTTTAGAGCACAGTAGTGCCCAGGGTTAACTGACCAGCTATTTTTAAAAAAAATAAACTTGAGGTAAAAAAAATAATTCAAATATAATACTAGTAATATGACTGTTATGTCTGTATGACTCTTACGTCACTTGACCATGAGAATAGGGTCTAGTTTAAACACTATTTTATTGTATTTCTTTGTCATAAGTGTTGAGTTTATGTTCATACAACACTAAAGCAAGCAAACGACTCAACAAAAGTGGAAAATATCCTGTTTTCTTACGCTTCAATTTTTTTTTGGTCATCTGTCCCCCCTGCCCCCCCCCCTCGCTACGCCTCTGCCTCGATGCCATCCCGCTGACCCAAAACACAATTTTAAAAACATGAAGACATTGCCACTTCCCCTTTTGAGTCTAATGCTAAATTGGACATATCAATAAAATAAAGGGTCAGGGCAGGAATGGAGGGATGTGGTCCACCCTGGGCGGCACTTTTTTCTTGCTATCCAGGGGTGGCATTTTTGGCCCACTGTAGAGTTAATTTTCGCGGAAGAGGGTGCACAACAATCTTGGCCGGTCCCAGTTGGCACTAATCCTAGCTACGCCCCTGGGTAAGGGCCAGGGCAAAACATAAAGTATAAGACGAAACAAAACAACGAACATGTCGGCAAGAAGCCTCCGTCAGCGAACACAACAGTTGTATTTTAAATATGTGTAAGGCCTCCTTATTAGGCCTCGCGAGTAAAATACACAAAATATATTGTTTTCCAGAACGGGCCCAAAGAAGCATGGTGACTTCGTGAGAGTGATCATCGGTAGCAAGTCGGTGGTGACTCTACCTGAGGTAGTTTGGCCCAAAGAAGCATGGTGACTTCGTGAGAGTGATCATCGGTAGCAAGTCGGTGGTGACTCTACCTGAGGTAGTTTGGCCCAAAGAAGCATGGTGACTTCGTGAGAGTGATCATCGGTAGCAAGTCGGTGGTGACTCTACCTGAGGTAGTTTGGCCCAAAGAAGCATGGTGACTTCGTGAGAGTGATCATCGGTAGCAAGTCGGTGGTGACTCTACCTGAGGTAGTTTGGCCCAAAGCATTCTTGTTAATACAAAAAAGGATATATCAAGGTAAACTGAAATATGTGATATGTCGTAAGTTGTTGAGTTACAGGTGGGGCCAAGAGACCGATAGAAAATTTGAGATGCAAACAGGCTTGCCAGGTTGGTCGCTTTAAGGCCATACTCCTAAAATTTGGCATTTTTTCCCAAGGCTGTTGGCCAGAACACTTTCGGTTGGGTTTTTTTTTTTCTACTTTAAATTTTTTATTTTTTTTTTCATATTTGAGGGCCCGTGATCAATTTATTGACCATTTTGACTCCTGGTTTGAATTCAGAGTTTTCCCTTCTCTTAGCCGTCCAAAGCTAACCGAGTCCCATCCACCCGGGGTGCTTGCGATGCTGGCTTTGGTGGGGATTGAACAACAGACCACCAGATATTTGGATTGAGTCAGTTTAGATAGCTTGGCCTATTTTCCATTAAAATAGTATTGGATCTGTTTTAAATTTCAATATCTATTTCCGACAACAGTTTTGCGAGAAATAACTTTGATAAATGAACTTACCGATACTAATAATAATAAAGTTTATTTGAAAAATTCACGCTTCATCCCCAAAGGCTCGAAGCGCGGTACAAAGTTGACAATATTAAAAGAGAAATAAAACAATCTATATTTTATCATATTGAAACACAAAACGCCACATTACAAAAACAACAAACGAACATACCCATTCAAAGTCTTTCATCCCTTGCAACCATAAAAACAACACAAGCCAATATACATCTAGGAGATAATAGTAAATAGCCAGCTGGAAAAGATGGTAGACAACATCATCCCAGCAGGTGTTTGCGAAATAAATGTTTTCAAATCGGTTTTGAGATATTCCCGTGTCTAGCTGTTTCTGAGAGCGACAGGAAGTGTGTTCCAAATTTTTGGACCAGCAAATGCGAAAGTGCGCCTTCCATAAGTCTCAAGGCAAACTCGTGGTATCGAAAGTTGGCCACTATCGGATGATCGGAGTTGTCTAGTACATAAGGCGTCATGAGCTCTTTGAGATAGGACTGCGCCAGTTCATGCAAGCAGCGGTAGCACAGAGTTGCAATTTTGTACTCTATGCGAGTGTGGGCCGGCAGCCAATGCAACTCTCTTAGAAGTGTTTTAGCATGGTCGAATTTGCGTTTGCAAAGAACAATGTGAGCCGCATTATTCTGTGCTTTTTGTATTTTATCCAGGAGCTGAGGGGTAGGGCTGAAATTTTGATAGAATGTGTAATCATCGGCAATAACTCTCATCAAGTCTATGTGCACGTTTCAGCTCGATAGCTTGGCGGGAATTGGGTCCATTATTTACACACATCATGTCTGATGGCTGGGCGGCATATGCACACATCATGTCTGATGACTGGCGGCATATGCAAACATATCATATCCGATGGCTGGGCGGCATATGCACATATCATGCCTGATGGCTGGGTGGCATATGCACATAGCATGTCTGATGGCAGGGCGGCATATGCACATATCATGTCCGATAACTGGGTGGCATAAGCACATATCATGTCCAATGGCTGGGAGGGAAATAAGCACATATCATGTCCAATGGCTGGGAGGGAAATACGCACATATCATGTCCAATGGCTGGGTGGCATATGCTTATTTCATGTCCGATGGCTAGGCAGCATATGCACATGTCATGCCTGATTGCTGGGTTGCATATGCACATTTATGATTGGCTGCATATGCACATATCATGTCCAATGGCTGGGCGGCATATGCACATATCATGTCCGATGGCTGGGCGGCATATGCACATATCATGTCCGATGGCTGGGCGGCATATGCACATATCATGTCCGATGGCTGGGCGGCATATGCACATATCATGTCCGATGGCTGGGCGGCATATGCACATATCATGTCCGATGGCTGGGCGGCATATGCACATATCATGTCCGATGGCTGGGCGGCATATGCACATATCATGTCCGATGGCTGGGCGGCATATGCACCTATCATGTCCGATGGCTGGGCGGCATATGCACCTATCATGTCCGATGGCTGGGCGGCATCTACGCTTAGTGACCACATCGCCAAATCACGTACAAGCACGACCTTGTTATCCATCAATGACAGAACCAGGTCCATGCTGCTGTGACAGAACCAGGTCCATGCTGCTGTGACAGAACCAGGTCCATGCTGCTGTGACAGAACCAGGTCCATGCTGCTCATAGCGATGTTCACACCGAAAATATGGAGAAAATGTGATTGCGAGCGGAACGCAAACATCGTCGTCAGTTTGGAACATCCCGTGACCTGTTCCAGTCATATCTTCATGTCAGTTTGGAACATCCCGTGAACTGTTCCAGTCATATCTTCATGTCAGTTTGGAACATCCCGTGACCTGTTCCAGTCATATCTTCATGTCAGTGTGAAACATCCCGTGACCTGTTCCAGTCATATCTTCATGTCAGTTTGGAACATCCCGTGACCTGTTCCAGTCATATCTTCATGTCAGTTTGGAACATCCCGTGACCTGTTCCAGTCATATCTTTATGTCAGTTTGGAACATTCCGTGACCTGTTCAAGTCATATCTTCATGTCAATGTGAAACATCCTTGACCTGTTCCAGTCATATCTTCATGTCAGTTTGGAACATCCCGTGACCTGTTCCAGTCATATCTTCATGTCAGTGTGGAACATCCCGTGACCTGTTCCAGTCATATCTTCATGTCAGTTTGGAACATCCCGTGACCTGTTCCAGTCATATCTTTATGTCAGTTTGGAACATTCCGTGACCTGTTCAAGTCATATCTTCATGTCAATGTGAAACATCCTTGACCTGTTCCAGTCATATCTTCATGTCAGTTTGGAACATCCCGTGACCTGTTCCAGTCATATCTTCATGTCAGTGTGGAACATCCCGTGACCTGTTCCAGTCATATCTTCATGACAGTTTGGAACATCCCATGACCTGTTCCAGTCATATCTTGATATCAGTTTGGAACATCCCGTGAACTGTTCCAGTCATATCTTCATGTCAGTTTGGAACATCCCGTGACCTGTTCCAGTCATATCTTGATATCAGTTTGGAACATCCCGTGAACTGTTCCAGTCATATCTTCATGAATTTGTGTTCCGTTATGTTTGTGACATTCTTGAAGATCAACGCAGATAAGTATCCCGTTTGAATCACCTCAAATGACATGACATATTTCACTTGTAATACATTTTGTTTTATTTAAGTTAAACATCAATAAATAACTTCATGTGAGTTAATATAACTATCTCCAATGACATGCTGTATTTCTGATATATTAAATGTTGTTTTAGTTTTGATCAGCATCAATTAATATTGTAATATAATTTAATATAATTTCTTGCTTCGTTTTTTGTGAACATGCCTTCAGTTTCAAAATTGCAATCTGGCATATAGGGTGATAATAATAATAATAATAATAATAATAATAAACACAACAGAATCGTTTACGCCACCAGCTATTTACCGACGGGGGTTGTAACAATGGAGAAAAAAAAGTTAGTGCTGTACAATTTAGAGTCAGTTAAATAATCTGGACTAAATTTAGTAAAGTATACAGACATAAGACATAAACATACGTTGTTTACACGCTAAAATACGACATTCGATCAGAAATTATATACGCACTTGTCATCTTTTTTACTGCTCTTAGTCTTTATTTATCCTTTACAGACATGAAAACATTTCCTCCTTGTAGCTTTGATGTTTCGAAAGTTTTTAAAAAATTTTTTATTTATTTTTTTTTCACAAAACAGCCGTAACAACAACAACAACAACAACAACAACAAAATAATTTAAAAATTCTCCAACAACGTGTTAGTGCAGTGGTTCTTAACTTGGGTTCGATCGAACCCCAGGAGTTCGGTGAGTCAGTCTCGGGGGGTTCGGCGGAGGTCCAAAGAAAAAATAAGAAAAAAAAAATCATATTTAATTTTTCCTATTAAGAAGGGTTCGGTGAATGCGCAAATGATACTGTTGGGGTTCGGTACCTCCAAAAAGCTTAAGAACCACTGTGTTAGTGTTAGAAATTTGTCTCGTTTTTTGTAAATGACACAAATTAAAAAGCTTCATATCAATGAATAAAAGCATAACGGAAAGTACCGATAAACGGGATTTTTTCTCTTTCACTTTCAATTTCTCTTCTTTTGATTTATTATTTTCCCGGGTTTTACCGTTAATGTCTGGTTTCCTTGTAATTTTTTTCTTTCAGGTAATGATTTTCAACATTTTAAGGAGTCAATTGTTGCAAATAAAAGCGCCATAAACTATTTTTGAAGACTACCCAGGTCAAAACAATCTAACAGGTAGGCATCTAACTACGATCATATTGATGTCGAGTAATGATTGGATCCCTAAATTTAATCGAAATTTTAGCCTGACATACGAGACTTATTTCTCTTTAGAAGAGATTGCTCACACTCACAGTGTAACCAGGGACGTCATTTAATCTTTAAAAAAAATTCCAATCTACTCTAATACAGCATTTTATATGGACTCTTCAAAATAATACTGAAAATGTGTTAATATGTGATTGTTATTTCTTCTGTATTCATCATTGTATACGCCCCCTGAATGCTGGACCCTAGCCCTAGGCCTTGGTTGGACCTATGTGAGAAATCAGGCCCAAACATCATAAAATATTCTTTAAGGCTATGGGCTTTGCCTAATTCGAGGATTTCCATTTTCTTATTTAAAAAAAAAAAAAAAAAATTTAAATATAAGGCTAGTGTCCTTTGTGTAAAAGTTTGACTAATCAATCCTAGCCCAAACATCATAAAATATTTTTTAAGGCTATGGGATTTGCCTAATTTTAGGATTTCCATTTTTTTATTTAAAAAAAAAAAAAAAAAAATTTAAATATAAGGCTAGTGTCCTTTGTGTAAAAGTTTGACTAATCAATCCTATTTATCGTAGGCAAAATAAGTCAATGCCCAGGAAATCTTAACAAAAACTACAAAATAGCAGCACTCAAGGCATAATGATATATATTGCTACAGAATGAACAAAAAATAATAATACCATTAAAAGGCATAAATAAAGAAAGTGTTTAGAATCGTGAGGGGGAAATCCCAAATACTTTTATTTATTGTTTTCTGAGATAAAAAAAAAGAATTATAATACATGCATAATGATACATATGACGCATTTGAACAGAACATTTAAAACAATATTTAATTTATTTTCTTTTTAAACGACGACAAAATGAAGTCCATAATGTTAACATCCATTTTATTGTATTCCAGAATGGCCGATGGACCTAGAAATACAAAGAAACACGAAGATTTCGTGAAAGGGCCAGTTGGCAAAAAGACGGTGGATGCATTGCCTGGGGTCGGAAAGGCAAACGCCAAATTGTTAGAAGAAAAAGGTTTCACCAAGGTAAATAACTCCCTGAGCAGATCCAGCGCCAATCTCGGAGCACAAATTTGAACAACAATAAAAAGAAAAAGAGAGCATTAAAAAAATTAATTGCCATCTCTACTATTTTTTAAAAAGATAAGTAAAGCAGCGGTTCTCAAGTTTTTACAGTCGCCACCCCATGATAATATTTGCAAAGTTGGGGCGACCCTCAACAAGGGCCATCTTGGCAGTAACAGAAGCTATTGGGAAAAGAAATGCACTCGGGCCCCCTATTCCAGTCTAACCTATTCAAGTAATTCATAGAGGACCCCTATTCCAATATAAACTATTCAAATAATTCATTGAGAACCCCTATTCCAATCTACCCTATTTAAGTCACAAGAAGTTGTCCGTCACAAAAAGAGGGGATATACTACAGTAAAGATGGGATACAGTAAAGATGGGATACACTAAAGAAGGGATACAGTATAGAGGGGATACAGTAAAGAAGGGATACGGTAAAGATGGGATACAGTAAAGAGGGGATACAGTAAAGAGAGGATACAGTTAAGAGAGGATATAGTAAAGAAAGGATACGGTAAAGAGGGGATTAAGTACAATAAAGAGGGGATAAAGTACAGTAAAGAGGGGATACACTACAGTAAAGAGGGGATACAGTAAAGAGGGGATAGAGTACATATGGGATAGAGTAAATATGGAATAGAGTAAAGATAGTATACAGTCACGGTAAAATTCAGTGTAAAGATAGGTTACAGAGTAATATGGGATTCAGTGTAAAGGTTGAAAATCTTGTTTTAAATTTTTTAGTTGTATTATTACGGTCACATCCAGATGATCACATTCAACTTCACGGTCATGTCTATAAATAGACCATTATTATTTTTTCTTCCTTAGGCAAGTCACGTGTTATCCACGTTTATCAGTAAGGAGGTGGATAAAGACAGGGCTAAGTTCAAGGACGCGATTCAACCATACAGTGGATTGAACGCGAGACAGTATGACCAACTCTACAAGGGGCTTGATGCATACACTGGTCAGAACATGTGATCTTTTATTTGCCACTGTCAACATTATTTTACAACGTTTGCATTCAAATACTCTAAGTGACACTGGCAAATACTGACCACAGTTGACATTGCTGGTGTTGATGAAATGTTGTACTTAACGATCAAATTTATATGCTTCTCATCTTCGCAAACATCTGTTTACAAAACCTGTTCACGCACACGCACACACACACACACAAGTTTTAACAAAATTCTAGACCTTTCTATTGGGTTGCCTACAAAAATGTCACTATTTTCAGAAGATTGTTTTAATTTAAATACATTATCATTGTCATTGTCATGGTTAGACATTTTCTTGTCTTAAGTCGATGCGCAAAATATCGGAGAGCAATTAATGACACGAAACCTTCTTCCTAAAGTATCGTTTTGTCCACCAAAAATCGTCCACAGGTTTATAAGTAATATTAATATTTCTAAATTAGCTATCAGAAATGCATTAAATTAAAAATACACTAATGTCTATGACGAATGTGATCTTTCAATTTAATAATAATTTCTGGTATTTTTTACTCATAAAATTAATGTTATATAAATACTTGTGTAATATTATACGTGAATATCAAATAATAAATAAATCTTCATTATTCTCATTACGCACATTTTGATTACATCTCCTTTAATAAAAAGTGAAATAAATAAAAGAATGGAAATACAAATAAGTACTTACCACGTGGAAACACTAGGCTGGTCACCGTTGGAGGAACGGCGACGACTATCCAGGCTCTCCATGAAGTACACGATAAATAATGGTCTGGTCCACTGTTCCAGTATTAAACAGAAACTCGTCCCTCTCCCCCATAGACAGCGACGAGGCCATGACAGGCAATTCAGGCTCATACCAGCAAGAAGCCAGTATAGGAGCTGCTCATTCCTGCCCAAGAAAATCACGGACTGGAACAATCTTTCAAAGGGAACCGTTGAGGCGACAACACTAGACACATTTGTGTCTATTGCCTCAAGCCTTTCAACCCCCAGTGCATATTCTGTCTAACATGTCTCTCGATAATCATATCTCTCACATTTGTCGCTCTGCATACACCGCTATTCGTCAGATCAGCTCCATCCGCCACTACCTCACAGTTAGTGCAACGAAAACCCTAGTCTGTGCTCTTGTTCTCTCTCGTCTTGACTATTGCGACTCTCTTCTGTCAGGTTCACCATAACACTTCTTAGAAAAATTACAAAAGTTTCAAAACTCAGCTGCTAGGCTAGTTTTAAAGGCAAGAAACGTGATCACGTCACTCCACTACTTCATTCACTTCATTGGCTCCCTGTAAAAGCACGGATTGACTACAAAATCTCTGTTCTCTGTTACAACTTTTTCTCGAATTTCTCCCTTTCCTATCTAACCGAACTAATCTCTGTCTATTTACCCCTTCGACAGCTTCGCTCCCCCACAGACGTGCGTATTCTTTCTGTCCCCAAGACTCACACAAAAACATACGGTGAACGATCGTTCTCTTTCTGTGCCCCCAAACAATAGAATTCTCTTCCATTACACATCCGCAATATACCGACCATCACAACCTTCAAAACTGCACTCGAAACACATCGTTTTAAATTCTACTATCCGGACTGATTCAGACCTCTGACTGAAAAACGTTGCTGCTGGGTGTCGTCCATGGCTTGATATGTAAATAGTTTTAAATATACATTTGTTTTGTTTTAAATTTAATTAATGTATGTTAATTAATTTTAAAAAGTTTTTGATTATGTTTGTTAAATTGTATGTGCAGTGTGGTGAGCCCAGCCCTAGGCTGGCGTACACGCTATATAAAACCACTATACTAATAATATAAACAGATGAAATCTATAATATCCAGATATGAGCATCTGAATCATCTGTGACATCCTAGTATAGCTGGAGCATCATCTGTGCAAACACCACACAATTTTTCCTAAGATATCTTATGGTATACATCCTAGCATAGCTGGAACACCATCTGTGCAAACATCACAAAAATTTAACCCCAAGAGATCGTATGGTCTTTAAGAAATAAACCAACTCTGTCAAATACATCAGTTGTCTTTTCGAGAGGTTTGCAAAAAAGAAACTCAGCTTTAAAGTCGCCATCATTAATATACCTCACGTAAACTAGTAACTGAGAACAGTTTGTGCGGTCTGTAGATTCATCAAGCTCTTCTAAATATTGGAAGTTTAACGAATTTAATTTCCTGGAATAACTGATCAAGATAAGTCAACAGACATGGCTTCTATTCTTCTTCTACGGACCGTGTCGATGAGGAAATTCCACTCAGTCTCGAAACAAATTCGTCTCCAATCATAATGAACATTTGTGACGTGTCTGGCTTTTGAGCCGGACCAAATCAGTCGGTTTTTAAGACCACTGGCATCGGAAATGTGTGTTTTCCAATGGTCTTAGGCGACCCCCGTAAAAGGGCAACCTACTGGTTGAGAGCCGCTGGGGTAAAAGAAAGGGTGAGATGTATGAAGTACCACCTCTTTCCTATACCACTGGGTGGAACAAAGGGTGATGTGTATGAAAGTAAAGATGTCATATCAGTTTTTAAACAATACTTTAATCGCTAGGGCTCAGAAAATAATCGAGAATCTTGCCTGGAGCGGTAGAGAAGTCTAGCACTGGTTTAAGAGACACAATGGATTCTAGGCAATTGAAAAAAAAAAAAAAAACTAAAAAAAACCTCTATTGACAGGGTAGACTAACTTGATAAGAAAATAATCGAGAATCTTGCCTGGAGCGGTAGAGAAGTCTAGCACTGGTTTAAGAGACAAAATGGATTCTAGGCAATTGAAAAAAAAAAAAAAAACTAAAAAAAACCTCTATTGACAGGGTAGACTAACTTGATTCAATTTTAACCTATAATGTAGATGTGGGATCTGCACTACGTGTTACCGAAAGGAAAAGTGGGCATTCTATCAACAATTTTCTTCTATATGATATAAGCCCAAGGTAAATATTGGATACTCAGAAGACGTGCCATTGCGTCACTGATATCACGTGATTTCACTGTTCAACATACAGGGAAATGAAAATGATTCTTCATTAATTTTGGTGTGATGAAGTTAGTATTTGTTTCATATTGATAACACACAGCCTTAAGAATGAAGAATTAAACTATATCATATTGTTGTCGAAATTTGAATTTAAATAATATCAAATTTTACAACGCGAAACTTTAATATACTGTAACATTTGTTTTTTTTATCACCCATTTGAAAAAAATAGAATAGTAAGTTTAAGAGAAAAAAAAAACGTTTTTGAAACTGCTGATATAAAAAGGAAGGGAGTAGAACGCTGTATCTATCGGCTTAAAAGGAAGGGTGTAGGATGCTGTATCTATCGGCTTAAAAGGAAGGGTGTAGGATGCTGTATCTATCGGCTTAAAAGGAAGGGTGTAGGATGCTGTATCTATCGGCTTAAAAGGAAGGGTGTAGGATGCTGTATCTATCGGCTTAAAAGGAAGGGTGTAGGATGCTGTATCTATCGGCTTAAAAGGAAGGGTGTAGGATGCTGTATCTATCGGCTTAAAAGGAAGGGTGTAGGATGCTGTATCTATCGGCTTAAAAGGAAGGGTGTAGGATGCTGTATCTATCGGCTTAAAAGGAAGGGTGTAGGATGCTGTATCTATCGGCTTAAAAGGAAGGGTGTAGGATGCTGTATCTATCGGCTTAAAAGGAAGGGTGTAGGATGCTGTATCTATCGGCTTAAAAGGAAGGGTGTAGGATGCTGTATCTATCGGCTTAAAAGGAAGGGTGTAGGATGCTGTATCTATCGGCTTAAAAGGAAGGGTGTAGGATGCTGTATCTATCGGCTTAAAAGGAAGGGTGTAGGATGCTGTATCTATCGGCTTAAAAGGAAGGGTGTAGGATGCTGTATCTATCGGCTTAAAAGGAAGGGTGTAGGATGCTGTATCTATCGGCTTAAAAGGAAGGGTGTAGGATGCTGTATCTATCGGCTTAAAAGGAAGGGTGTAGGATGCTGTATCTATCGGCTTAAAAGGAAGGGTGTAGGATGCTGTATCTATCGGCTTAAAAGGAAGGGTGTAGGATGCTGTATCTATCGGCTTAAAAGGAAGGGTGTAGGATGCTGTATCTATCGGCTTAAAAGGAAGGGTGTAGGATGCTGTATCTATCGGCTTAAAAGGAAGGGTGTAGGATGCTGTATCTATCGGCTTAAAAGGAAGGGTGTAGGATGCTGTATCTATCGGCTTAAAAGGAAGGGTGTAGGATGCTGTATCTATCGGCTTAAAAGGAAGGGTGTAGGATGCTGTATCTATCGGCTTAAAAGGAAGGGTGTAGGATGCTGTATCTATCGGCTTAAAAGGAAGGGTGTAGGATGCTGTATCTATCGGCTTAAAAGGAAGGGTGTAGGATGCTGTATCTATCGGCTTAAAAGGAAGGGTGTAGGATGCTGTATCTATCGGCTTAAAAGGAAGGGTGTAGGATGCTGTATCTATCGGCTTAAAAGGAAGGGCGTAGAACGCTGTATCTATCAGCTTAAAAGGAAGGGTGTAGGATGCTGTATCTATCGGCTTAAAAGGAAGGGCGTAGAACGCTGTATCTATTGGCTTAAAAGGAAGGGTGTAGGATGCTGTATCTATCGGCTTAAAAGGAAGGGTGTAGGACGCTGTATCTATCGGCTTAAAAGGAAGGGTGTAGGACGCTGTATCTATCGGCTTAAAAGGAAGGGTGTAGGACGCTGTATCTATCGGCTTAAAAGGAAGGGTGTAGAACGCTGTATCTATCGGCTTAAAAGGAAGGGTGTAGAACGCTGTATCTATCGGCTTAAAAGGAAGGGTGTAGAACGCTGTATCTATCAGCTTAAAAGGGAGGGCGTAGAACGCTGTATCTATCGGCTAAAAAGGAAGGGTGTAGGATGCTGCATCTATCGGCTTAAAAGGAAGGGTGTAGGATGCTGTATCTATCGGCTTAAAAGGAAGGGTGTAGGATGCTGTATCTATCGGCTTAAAAGGAAGGGTGTAGGATGCTGTATCTATCGGCTTAAAAGGAAGGGTGTAGGATGCTGTATCTATCGGCTTAAAAGGAAGGGTGTAGGATGCTGTATCTATCGGCTTAAAAGGAAGGGTGTAGGATGCTGTATCTATCGGCTTAAAAGGAAGGGTGTAGGATGCTGTATCTATCGGCTTAAAAGGAAGGGTGTAGGATGCTGTATCTATCGGCTTAAAAGGAAGGGTGTAGGATGCTGTATCTATCGGCTTAAAAGGAAGGGTGTAGGATGCTGTATCTATCGGCTTAAAAGGAAGGGTGTAGGATGCTGTATCTATCGGCTTAAAAGGAAGGGTGTAGGATGCTGTATCTATCGGCTTAAAAGGAAGGGTGTAGGATGCTGTATCTATCGGCTTAAAAGGAAGGGTGTAGGATGCTGTATCTATCGGCTTAAAAGGAAGGGTGTAGGATGCTGTATCTATCGGCTTAAAAGGAAGGGTGTAGGATGCTGTATCTATCGGCTTAAAAGGAAGGGTGTAGGATGCTGTATCTATCGGCTTAAAAGGAAGGGTGTAGGATGCTGTATCTATCGGCTTAAAAGGAAGGGTGTAGGATGCTGTATCTATCGGCTTAAAAGGAAGGGCGTAGAACGCTGTATCTATCGGCTTAAAAGGAAGGGTGTAGAACGCTGTATCTATCGGCTTAAAAGGAAGGGTGTAGAACGCTGTAT